CATTGTGATTGGAAATAAATGATTATTATTATTATTATTATTATTATTATTATTAATTTAACACCAGATCCTTTACCCTACAAAACCGGAACACAGTAAGGTCAGTATGGGTAAGCGTAACTAGGGGGTACGTGTGAGACTGCTCTTCGTATCACGAAAAATAATTGACCTTTTCATTTAATTGCCATCCCAAATTTTCATTTAAGTATCCACTAGGGACTTTTTGAAATCAGAGTAAAAGAGAATAATTTCAGCACCCGTTTTATAGAGTGTAAACCAGGTCAAGAATCTTTTATTGTATTTATGTAAGTAATATAGGTGACAAGTGATTGCTTGTTGTACGTAGGCGTAGGTAACATAATCTTTGCATTTTACAATCAAAATACTTAACTGTCGTGCATTAGCGACGTAGTCACACTTGCCTCGGTTCGGGAAGTGTGTCTAGAGTAGCACTTTCAGTTTTAGACCTTAATAATAAATTATTAATGTTTAAATCAAATCAAAAACATATTATTTTCAGCCAATTATGAGTCTTATTAAATATTGCCTTCAGAAAAAGTTGAAAACTCAACCTTATATGAGTTGATTTTGATGTTCAAAATAAACTTCGTAAAAAGTATGTCACACTTACCCATACTGACCTTAATACTAATAAAATCAAGGAGCTCTACTGCTACTAATTATTACATAACTATTGCTTTTTATTATTTGAAGGGAGAGTTTGAAAACCTTCGATTTCGCATAGGAAAAGTTCAGAATCGGAAATTATTATAGAATAAAATCACACACAATTCTTTCTTTTCATCTACCATTTATCAAAAACTTAATTACTTTATTTATAAATCATACGTATCAATAGGTATTTTGTAAACTTTATTATAATTGGGCCAGGGAAGTGTTACTCCTAATTAATGATGACTTCACCACCACATTGATGCACTTTGTATAAGCACCGCGGAATATTATGGTTTTTATAATAAAACAAGACTGTACGTTTTTTTAGGATATTGAAGGATGTTATAAATATTTTTAAAATAATAAAATATACGCATAATTAACAATGTCGATATTAATATTTTTTATTACAAATGAGAAAATATTTTGGTTAAAATATTTATTTCAATATTAGGTTATATTATGTATCATTGGTTTTGAGGGCAGTGAGTTAATGTGTTCTCACACCCAATTTGGTGACAGCTAAGATTTATAAAATCTAATGACTAAACAGACTAAAGACAGACCAATGAATTGATTCAGTAATATAAGTAAACAACAGTCGACGGCGATAAAAAGATACTACAGTTTTCAATTTATAAAATATAGGCTTTCAATTCAGCATTCCTTAAAATGAGAAAATATTAAAAAGATACCGACATGATTACATTTCAAGGCATTACAAAAAAAACACAAGTATCGTAAATTTCTATTCAATTTAATTTAAAATTAACCTTGAAAGTACACAAATTGCGGAAAAATGTTTATGTCTGCATCAGATATATTCAGTCTGGCAATTTGTTTTTATAGTTTTTGTATCTATGGAGTGAATAGTGTTGTATGTATAATGTAAAATTTGTTTAGATATATGTTCATAAAATGCACGCAGTGTGGGACGAGCTCACAAGTGCTAATTGGTGTCGCGTGACGCGGCCCGTGATGTCACAGGCCGTATGATGTCGCTGTTACCCATTACCTATTTAAATTCCAATAGATAATGATAATTAATAAAAAATGTTTTGTGACTAAACTATAGATACAAGTATGCTATACTCTGCTACGGTCCACGTTATACTATTATTTTCTAGTAACGATCATATTTATACCAAACTTGAAAAAAACGATTTTCTATATTAAATAAAATAAATAAATGTAAGTAAATGATAATCTTCGGTAGACCAACCAGCTTGTAAAGGATCATAGACAGACATGTCGTCCAGATCGATCTCGTCTACGTACAGCTTACGTGTGCCATATCCTTTACGCTAGAAAAACAAGGGCTGGTTACAGGCTGACAGCTAAAATGAGTCTTAAGCTTAGGGCGCGTGTACACGCTAAGAAAAATCGCCGGGTCTTTGCAAGAATTCGTGTCGTTTCTACACACGAACTGTGTACATTGTCTATCCCGACACGACGCGCTCTGCCGATATTGTATGGGGCGGAGTGAGGTGCATTGTTAGTAAGCGAACGTTTATGTGCGTGAACGGGTGTTGCTTAGTATTCAACATATACAACAACATATTTCTTCCCGCAGTCGGTAGTAAAACGACAGGTACCTGGAAGATTCGTAATGCACTGACACATTTTACCCTACACACGTCTGTCCGAAAGCATTCGTATCGTGTACATACTCATCATTTTCTCGTCTGCAACAGACACGACATGTATTCGTTGCTAGATTCGAAAAAGTTCTTGTCGTGTACAAGACATTCTCATCTTTTTTGTAGCAGACACGTCGAATTTCATAGTGTGTACACGCACTCTTAGGTAGCTGAGCGGAACAGGGAGGGGTAACAGTTGGGTGCGCTTCCAATGTCGTGGAGGAGCGGACCGTGAATCAGCCAATCACAGTGCTCGAAATCTCTACTCCGCATCAGTGGAAACAGTGTAAGTGGAGCGGAGGGGATAGAACGGAGACTCGTGCGCTGCATTTTAGTTTAGTTAGCGATATTACATCATAAATTTCACTCGTCAACGACATTGTATGTGAGTTAAAATGGATGAGAAGCTAATTGAAAATGTCAAACAATTTCCATGTTTATGGGGTACAAATGCGAATGAAACCAAAGATGCGAATAAAAGCAATGTCCTTTTTTTTCCGAAAACATGACGTATTATCTCTCCAAGACATTGAATTTGGCTGATCGAAACATGGCTCAATGCAGTCAGTAGAAACGGACCCTAAGTTATGTCGCACTGCACAGAAGATTTTTCTATGGTGTTCACAAGTTGATACAAAAAAAGACCCCTTACGCACCGCGCAGCTACCTCAGGAACTGACTCGGTTAAGCGATAAGTAGAGGTAATGCTCAATTGTTCGTAATGAATAATTATTATATTAGGTAATGCTCGATTGTTCGTAATTAATAATTATTATATTAAATACTCTCATAGTATTACATAATACTTACAACGGTTCCTAGTTTTGCCAATCTTTTGGCTTTTCTCTTGGCTTCCTTTTCAGCCAACTCTTTTTTAACTTCTAAAACAAAATAAAAAAAGCGCCACTTAATTTTTTGAACGCGACCACAGATAAGTGACGTTTAACTGTCACTCTGGCGGAACGTCATTATTTTTGAAAACGGCGACCATGATCGATGGAAACTCGTTTTTGGACGCGTGGCTGTCAACAGCGAAAATTAACGACGGATCGCATGACTCACGAAATCCATTCTACTCGCATTAAATTTGTACTACAATTAATTATTATTTGTTAAAAATTGATTAAAACACAGTTGATTAAGCATTCCAGGTCTCATTTATTAGAAATATCTTGCCCTCATTACTCACGCATGATGGACGGGTTGGAGAAAGATCCCGGTCATCCTATAATGGATCGTAAAATTCGTCTTTTACATAATAGCTATTGTTCAAACAACCTTTGAACATTCCACTCAGCAGGCGAACGACCCAAAAATATACTCAAGAAATGCTTCAGCAGCACTACTCAGCAAGATGAACGACCGAAAACCAGACTGCTAGATTATGCTTCAACGGCACTTCACACCGACGATAAACTTAGATTTTAGAGACATTTTTTATAACAATATGATGAATTGTTATGGCTGAACCTTTGAAACATACCTCAATGACGTAAAAATTCTACAAATAAGATTTTTGAAATATTTAGTAAGTCCAAGTATGGTTGTAAGGGAGACTATGATAAACTATTTACCAACTGTAATACTTCCTTCAAAAGCAAAAGTTGAATATTTGGCCGTTATTGAAAACTATTATACAACTGAATTTAAAATTAATGTAACGAACAAGTATACTATAGTAACACTAGGCGAGTACGTGAAAATAAATATGTATGTCCAAAAGTAAATAACTACGATTGTGGCAACATTGAAGAAAAAATGAAGATTTATACTTCTTGAAAGCATGTAAATTTAGCCAACAAACTGCATAGTTTGGTGAGAAATTGTATTATCCGCTCACGCGGTGCGCTCCTCCTACCGCAAAATGGCGGCTATTTGGTTTCGCAAATTAGAAAAGCATTCAGTTTAAATACAAGTTTTTATAAATAAAAATTATTATTTTGCATTGCTAAATAAATACCCTCCGTACTACCAACAAAAACATCTCAAATAAAATGCAGTAATACACCGCAAATCCTGCACTTAAAAAGCACTAATGAAATTTTTGGTGTACTTGGATAAATATGATAATATTCCATTTGAGTGGTTCTAACGTTTAGCATGAAATTACTCCTTAAAGTATAGTTTATAAACATTTATATTCAGGTATATATATATATACCTGATATAAATATAGGTAAACTTAAAAAACGCTACTTACGGTATGTTTTCAATAAATAAACACCGAAATCACCAGCCCTAACGACACACACGATTGTCGTGACGTATTTTTGAAGTTGTTTATTTTTTTTAAATGACAGACCCAGGAATTAAAAACTTTATGGTTTGCTAGAGTAGCTACAGAAATAGCAATTAATATTAGTTCTTTTACCTATTATAACTTCGATATCCGATAAATTGGTATAAAATCATCACCGGCACCTTAAGGTGTGGTATGCGTCTACGGCTGCATGTATCGCGTGAGCGGTTAGGGAACATATAGCGTATACCGGCAAGGTCCCACGCATTTCACATAACCCGGTCCGTTGAAGCGACGGCCACCCGTTACCGCCCGTTGAGTTCGCTTGCACTCTTGTGTTATGCCAGGTTCACGAGTCATTCACTTGCGTTTTTCGCTTGCTTGCGTGGCTCGCTTCGCGCATACGCAAAGATCTGTTGCGTACGCGCAGGTAGGATGGTTCACGAGTCGCTCGGTTGCGTCGGCCTCTTGATTTGCGTTGGATTTCTTTACGTTGTGTGAGTTTGATATTTAGCAAGCTTGATATTTCCAGGCAAGCTACAAGGAACGTTTGCGGAGGACGACACCACAGGCCAATCACAGAGCAGCAGCCGGTTCGAGAATGTCGACAACTTAAACAAAGGCAAAGCGCCACGCATGCGCGCATGTCTCTCCGCAACACAAAGCTGAAGACTCGTGAACGCCTTTGCGCCGAAGGCAGATTTCTACGCCGTGTACCCAGCCAACGCAAGCAAGCGAAAAACGCACGTGAAATATTTGTAAACCGTCGACGTCGCGTCCTCGCGTATTTGTTTTGCGTGGTTTATCGGTATTCACCTGCCTGATCACTACACAAACGTAGAGTATTGGGACATGGTGCGGTGTTAGGTTATGGTATGTTGTGCAAATCATTTGCATTTGTGTTGTTGAGAAATGTCCCTTAGTCGGCGAGCTCCATCCTGCATATTGATGTTAGGACTCAATTTTGTCTTTCCGAAGCTAGGATCAAACCACCTTAATATGAAGGGAAATTTGAATTACTTTGAATACTGCTATTTAAGAAAGTAGGAAAGTTTAATAATCTCAGGCATTTTTTTAAATTTTGAAGCAGATTTGTTTCTGTCATTTGAACTGTAGCTTTTTTAGCCACATAATTAAACTGTGCTTGCTATGCTTTTGTTTTCATTCACTTAGTATAACCGAAATAACGTTATAAGAGCTAAGATGATGAAAGATTACGTAGATTGAATTTAAATTGATTATATAATTCATTTATTTATTTACCACACTTACATTTATTGATATATGTAAATTTCAGCCTGTATTAGCACCTTGAGTAAAACAAACTTGCAAGGTTCCGTAGGTGGTCTCCTTCCACTATACTTACTAGTTATCTCCTGTAGCCTAGCCGCTCACGCGATACATGCAGCCGTAGACGCATACCACACCTAGAGGTGCCGGTGATGATTTTATACCGATTTATCGGATATCGAAGTTATAACAGGCAAAAGAACTTATATTAATTACTATTTCGGTAACTACTCTAGCAAACCATAAAGTTTTTAATGCCTGGGTCTGTCATTTAAAAAAATAAACAACTTCAAAAATACGTCACGCCATTTTGCGGTAGGAGGAGCGCATCGCGTGAGCGGTTAACATAGTCTTTTTTCCCTGTGGCCTTCAGGAACTAATACTGGGCTTGCACGCGCCTGATCGTGGCGCGGCGCGGGAGTTCAATTTCCTAACGCTCAGCTGTTTCATAGAGTAGCCCAAATAAAGAGTACACCTCCATATATTAGAATTAGGATCCCGAACCGAGTGGTGTTAGAAAGGTAGCAACTACATCCAGGTTATTTTGACGAGGTGATAAAATTGACAACTCTTTGCATGAAACTTATTTTTTTGCTAGGTTATCTCTTTTGTTTACATTTTGGACATCTAATTGCTATTCAGATTATAGGTACTAACTAAGTTGATTAGTCCATTCCAAGAGAGTGTTCTCGTCCAAATTTTTTAACGTGAATTCCCTCTCCCATTCCGGAGTCCTGTAGACTACATGATTTACTTGATTGAAATCCGAGTTTTGCCTAAAAATATAAATTATTTATTGTTACTTTATTTTATTTGAATCTGTATCCAGGCATCGAGTATATAACCCTGAAATAGAAACGAAATGTCATTTAATTTGTTTGAAAACTATTCTGTCAAATCATTACGGTGACAACTGCGCTCCGATTTGCCAACCCGAATTCGAAACAATTGATGGGTGTAGTCAATTGTCTCTCATCAAATCGACCAGTTTAACTTGAGCTTTGCTATAATGGACAAAAATTGAAAAATTACTTGTTGAATTACCGATGAAATGTGATTCCGTTTGTTTTGTAATTAGATGTTTTGCTGTTTTTTCCACACCACAACGACCCATAGTTAAAGATATTTATTATCTTTATTACAATAAATACAGCATACTTTTGGAGTATACAAAGACGCACACACTGGTTAGTTGTTAGAGCTGGACTATTTCAGCTTTATAATTTTTTATTTCAGATATTTAAAAGTGACATAAGGTCCATTTGCTTGATGAGTTGCCAGAGATGGATGGCCCTTATTTCGTCTCTATTTCTGGTTATATACCATTCAACGGTAACATGGATGTATCCAGGTTACCGTTTGTAGACAATTTTCTGTGTGATTAGCATTACAATTTCTTGTGTGATATAAAGTGAATTCTTTAATTATTTAGAGGGAAGAGCTGAGGCGTAGATTTCTGTCGCCCGGGGCCAGCTTTAAATTTGTTGCTCCTCAATTTCTCAAATCTCAATTTTTCAAACACGATTACAAAAGTAATTCGTTCGGGCAGACTCCGCTCGATTGTGTTTTTGTGTTAGCCTGCCGTCACTACCTTTGTGTTGTTCTTCTCAAATAATGGAATCTATTTTCTAATTTTAAGTAAAATAAAAAATATTTGACCTAGTTCGGACTCGCCGTCGCCCGCGTCACTACGCCGTCCGGGCCGTGGCACCGTCTACACCCCCCACGCTACGCCAGTGAGGATGGTTAAAAATACGCCGTTTCCTCATGTTCCTACTGGGTGCTCCTACTGGTAGGACCAAAAGGATAAATATGTCCTCGTGCTCCTAATAATGTACTGTCACGTATATTTATATGTAATTGATATTATAGTACTCTTATGTAGTAGCAGTAGAGCTTCTTGTGAAAGAGTTCATCCAGGGAAGTACTGCCACCTTACCTATTTCTGCCGCCAAGCAGTAATGTCAGCATTACTGTGTTCCGGTTTTGAAGGGTAAGGGTGTTGGTGAAATTACAGGCACATAGGACTTGTCAACTTACGTCTCAAGGTGACGGGCGCAGTGGCAGTGCCCCTCAGATCTTTGCAATTTAAAGCTCTGAGTGGCACCGCAACTGTTATGGACAGGCGTGTAGCTTACCATCAGGCGCATGACTTGTTCGTCCCGTCACTTGATGTTATAAAAAAAAGGACAATTTACAATCTGAGCTCCAGACCGTCTTTGTGAGATAAAACGAACAGTCTCTTTATGAAAAATAGTAACAGACATATTAATAACATTATATACTAAATACTATATACACACATCAAAAGTGTCTAGGGACCAAGTGAATATTTTGAAATAAAAATTATTTAAGCAATATTTACCAAACCCAGTCTTCCAGGACGACTTCTTACTTTAATGCTTATGTTTTATTTAACCGCTTACCCCTATATTTAATTAAAATAAACTAAAATTGATGTTTTTGCAAATTGTGGGAAAAAACTCAAATTAACGGCGTCAATTAAATGACAAAAAAATGGCGAAAATGATGATTTTGCTCATTTTTATTGTAAAGATAAGAAAATTAATAATCTGTATTTCCACCATTAACACGAATCACACAATTACAGCGATTTGGCATGCTTAAGATGAGTTCATCAAAATCACTTTGAGGAATGGCCGCCCATGTGTTTTGTAACAAGTCAAAATATTGTTGTAGAGTATGTACGGTATGCATACTCGGCACAGCTCTTCTTTGAAGCATATCCCATGCGTGCTCAATTGGATTGAGGTCTGGCGATTGAGCAGGCCACGGCAGAACGTTGATACGAGCTTCGGCAAGAATGCGTGTTACGACTCTAGCCGTGTGTGGACGTGTGTTGTCATGCATTAGTTGAAATGAATCACCCAACTGGCCTCGCAAAGGGATGATAACATCTGAAACAATCCTCTCTGCGTAAACTTGAGCATTGAGGTTACCCCTGATCCAAATGAGATCGGTTCTTCCGCCGATCCAAATACCGGCCCATATCATTATTGTTCCCCCACCATATGGATGAACTTCCTGACAATATCTCAAACGTTCATGACGTCCAGATGTTCTCCAAACTCGAGTACGTCTTGTATTCGGTCTCATACCGATGCGGGATTCATCCGAAAAGCACACATAGCGCCAGTCTTCTTCCTCCCAGCTTCTGTGTTCGCGAGCCCATCGTAAACGGGTCCTGCGATTGCAGGGTGCAATAGGTGGAACTCTGAGCGGCCTTCGGGATCGCAGACCCACTTCACGTAAACGATTTCGGATTGTTTGATCGCTTATTAGCAAGCCTGAGGAGCTGTGGAGCCTCGTAACCAACATCATGGCGGTCATGGTACGATTCCGTCGAGCAGTATTTTGGATATACCGGTCCTGTCTGCGAGTCGTGATGCGAGATCGTCCTCCATGTCGCTCGGCCACGCTGCCCGTCATGCGATAGCGCGTCCAGAGGCGACTTATGACGCTCTGTGTAGTGTTAAGAGTGAAAGCCACAGCACGTTGCCTGGAACCAGCTTCCAACATTCCGACGGCTCGCATCATCACTTCTCGGGTTAAATGATGTCATCTCTCCATAATAATGTAAATTGTTTCGGTTCCGATGCTGATATTGTAATGATTTTGTCAAAACGCTATAACTCATTTTTATACAAAACCACATTGACAATCGATTTTCTTCTTATTATCGAATTTTAAACAATATTCCTTATTTAAATGTTAAAACTCACTAAAAAGTATCAATAGCGATACAAAAAAGTTAATATAATTAACCCTAATTGCAGCAATACTCTTAAACGTACTTGATCCCTAGACACTTTTGATGTGTGTATATACTAAATCTATGGTCTACACAATGCCACAAATATATTTGAGAGACAATGTATACGCTTCTATCTATGCTTCGAGCTATGCCCACCACTTCGGAAGACTCACCCTACATGCTTAAGTTTGGGAGAGAAGAGCACCCCCTAACACACGCTTTTTTAAAATAAAATGTAAGTCTGTATTTGACCTCCATCTCACCTGATGGGAAGTGACGATGAGGTCGACGATGGACCATGCACACCTAAATCTTGCCTGTTCACCCTCGCCTTGAAAAGGCCCAAGTAATAACGTTCAGGGAACACGTCTGCATGCAGCGAATTCCACTCCATAGCCGTTCGCCATATAAATGTGGAAGCGTAACGCTTCGTGCGAATCTTTGGAATATCCACAACATAGGGGTGGAACCCAAGTCTACGCCTAGTTCCCCGGTGATAGAAAGGGGAAGGCGGAATGAAATCGTGTAATTCCATCGCACACCCTCCGTGATATATCCTGTAAAATACCGATAAGCAGACAACTTCACGGCGGTGTTCAAGGCTCTGTAGCTTCGCCTCCACAAATTCCGAGCCACCTATAAGCCTCTTGCCACGGTTGTCAATTGAATCCATGGTAGCCAGTTCCCAAAAATGGCAGCAGTACTCCATGCACGTCCGGACTTGTGGTTGGTACAGCTGAAGCAACTGTCCCGGTGTAAAGCAACGCTTCACCCTGGAAAGGATGCCAAGCTTCTTTGCTGCATTTTTTGTCATGTATTCAATGTATCTGAAGTTCAAATTGGACAACATGTCCATTTCAAGTAGCTGGAGACAGTTGGTTATTGGTACGGATATAACACGAAAAGTCGGAGTCATTTCAAAGGGTCTCCGTTTTGTGGATAAGAAAACTGTGCATAAGAAAGTATTATCTAATTTTTTTTTATTACTAAAGCGAGTTGAAAGTATTATCTATTAATTTTTTTAATTCTAAACATTGACCTACCAATAAATGGACGTCGGTTTCGCGCTAAAAAGTGTCCGCACCTGTAGGGCGTTAAAATCGCATACAGAGCGCCAATCACGCAATAGTCTTCGTTTGTTCGAGTGACAGCACGGTTGTCAATCATGCAGTACCAATATATGCAGTATAAATAATAACTTGTTAAAATTACTGCAGTAAAGTGTGAAAACCGGATTTTGTATCATATTTTCAATAAACAAATATATTGTGTTATCATAGTGGTCATTTAAAAGTGTTATTTTGTACAGTTTTATAGTATTTTTTTATATATAACTCAATCGTAAATATAAATTACACAAGCACACGAAATAATTAAATAGCTAACTGTCCTTTTTCTACTCATTGCATGAGCAAAAGATGGAAAGAGACCCATTACGTCAGTTTCAAGAAGCCTATATAAACTTCTTGGTCATTTTCAATTGTTCGAACCACAAGCGATTGAAATATTTAGAACAAAGAAACTGTAGAGTAGCTAAGATTTTAATCCTATTTTTTAAACAAAAGCTAATGTTGTCTATGTAAAAAGCAACAAAATTACTCGAAAACGTAACGGTTTTGTTATAAATCGTAATTACGGATATTTGAGATTACGTTTAGTTGTAATATTGGTACATTTCTTATAGTACACGCTTATTTTCACATTTGTAGTAATAATTGTATGTATGTATCTGCCCAACTCTTTATTACACCTTTAAGTGAATTTGTACAAAATTCGACATAATAATATATATAAAAAAATTAATTAATATTTACGAGGAAGGCTATTCCATTACTCTTGTGTTCAAGTAATTTTCAGTCGAAGCTAAATATGGTGCATTTTGTTAAGTTTCCAGTAGAAGCTGAATATGGTGTTTTTGGGCTCTTAAATTGTTGTAAGCAAATTTAGGCAGTACTGCAATGACGTTACAATTTAAATTAAATGTTTTAGTTTTTTATATTTCGTTACATATCGCTACGTTTGTTAACCTAGTAACTGTGTATGTTAACCTCGGGCACTTTTTTCGTGGTTTTTGTATTAGACCCGAAGTCCATTTGTTGGTATGTCAATGTTTCTAATGCGAGCTAGTTTGCTTAATGTTATTTTGCGTCTATAATGTGTCATGTGTGTGTTTATAATGAAATTTAGTTGTTTAGTGTTGTCGTACTTGTTGACGCTTACTCCAAATGGATAGAGGTGACGAGCATGTCTACCACTACAGCTAAAGCTGTCCTGAGTAAGCTGAGAGAACATTTTGCGAGGTTCGGTTTACCCAAGCAGATCGTTAGTGATAACGGTCCGCCGTTTGCGAGTGAGGAGTTGCAGGCATTTTGTAAACAAAATGGTATTGAACAACTATTTTCGGCACCTTATCACCCCGCCTCTAATGGCCTTGCTGAAAATGCAGTGAAGCTGTGCAAGAGGGTTATTAAGAAAGCTATAGTTCAAGTTGTCAACGTAGACGCTGCCCTAAGCAGATTCCTACTTGTGTATCGCAACACTCCTCACAACACTACAGGGGATAGTCCGGCCCAGGTATTATTAGGTAGGCCGGTACGTACCCGACTCGATTGTCTTAAGCCAGACCGAGAAAAACGGGTAAATTCTTTCCAACGACAGCATCAAGCTACTGCAGACGGAAAACCTCGATCGTTTAATGTAGACGAACTAGTTTGGTTTAAATTATTTAACACCTCAGGTCCTAATACTTGGGGGAAAGGAAAAGTGTTCGAACGAATGGGGGAGACTGATTATAGGATAGAAACGTTAACAGGTATAATGCATCGGCATATAGATCAATTAAGGAAACGTGATTCAAGTGGTGAGGGAATTGCACAACGTAAGAATACGCGTATTTATCCACCGAGTTGTTTACCCGTAGCAGAAGCTACAGAGCATGCGTCGAGCTCGAGGTCGGGGGAGAGGGAAGGCACTAGCGACGACAAAATCGCGCGCCCGGCGCCGGTTCCGAACCAACACGCGGAGCAGGCGCAGCCTGGCTCGCCCGCCACTGAACGCGTGCGGCCCGAGCCATTACGGCCAGTTGTAAGGCCACCCGTTCGCTATGGTTGGGATGTTTAAAATAAGGTTTAGAATAAGGGTGAAGGTGTTATGTATAAGTGGGTATTTGCCGAAAACACAATCTGTGGTTTGGCTTTTTTCTGTACCGCAGTTCAAAAATAAACGTACTACGATTAACACCGTGTTCATTATTTATCAAATGGTGTATTTTGTTATTATACTTTTATCAGTAGGGAAATGTTTTTGCTTATAATTACTTAATATAGTTTCTATTACACCCCGGACACTCCGTACAACAGTCGAAAGTTATTTACCTCCTACTACTACATACAGCAAGGCGCTATCTGCACACGCGCAATTGTGTGCGTGAAGTGGCAGGGTTACCCATTATTTTTTCGTACGTGGTCATAGTGGCAACATAGCGAAAATTCTAACGCGAATCTCGTAGGATTATGAATGCAGTAGCAGCATGCAAGCCTTCTGCATTCCTGCAATGCGTGCTGCGAGAGACCATACGTAGGCCATACGCAGGATAGGCGTGTGTAATACTTACACATGTTCATTAGGTTTTCATATCATATCTATATCTATAATAAAGCTGAAGGTTTATTTTAAAAAAGTAAATTTAAAAGCACTATGATAGTCGCGACGCGCGCAATGAAATTGGAATAAGCGCGCGCTATTTGCTGTCTCAATCAGATCTAATTTAGATAGCCAATAACGCGCGATTATTTCAATTTTATCGCGCGCGTCGCGACTATCATGCGTGGCCATGCTACGGGGGCTGAAATGTTATATGAACAGGTACTTTTAAATAAGGTAACCAAGGTATTTGAAATTGCGCGTCCAACTTTATCATTTGTTACTTTGTTAAGAATTATATTCACTACATATTTATCGGCAATACAAATTGGGAATTTCGAACCCTCGTCTACTATATTACATCTCATTATATTGATATAATAAATCTGTATTATATATTACTCTGTATTAAATAAATGACGAAAACAGTAACTGAATGAATCTCAGACATAAGTTTTTTTACTTACCTAGTTTCATCTATAGGAAAACGGAAGAAATTCGTCTGTCTATCTCGTATAGATGATTATAAACACAGCACAACTCACGACCATTATAAATAGTAACATACAATGATGTTATATATTAACGTACTAGCTTTGTAATTAATAAATGAAAAGTATATTCAAATATCAAAGCCATCTTAGCGCGAAAACGGCTCGCCGACAGCCTTATTGCCGTTCGGTCAACGTAAAGCTAGGGAGGGGCGCAGAGTGACCGTTCTCGTTACTATTTTGTTCTCTGGTTTCTATTACATTGTGGTACAAGCTGTTTGTAAAAAAAAATGTATAGTCATTGGATTACACTTACATGAAACATAGATCCCGAATAGTTCTACTAAAAGTTTTTATCAAGAGTCCAAGCATATAAAGTCCTAATAAAAGAACGAAGTTGAAGACCATTTCGTCAATGCAATTGATAGATTTGTTGCAATGGTAGTAAAAGAAAGCACCGAGTTTAGGTACTACGTAGCTGTATGTTTTGTTGAAGTGTATGGGGCCGTATGCGTCCGAAAATAGAGGGAGATGATAGGAGGTATCATTGAATGGCAAGGAAATGTTTATTATTTGATTCCAGTGTTCCAATGGGTGCCTGTAGAATCGGCCCTGTAACATGAGATTGGTGTCGGTGAGTATAGGTACTTGAATGAGATTCTTCACGCCGCGATTGACTCATCTTAACCCTTTGAGAGGGAGCAGAGGAAAAAATCCCAATCTTCTATTTGATTTTAGAGGGGTATATCCACTTAAGTTAAAAATAAAATATGCTATGACTGCGGTATTGCGGACGAGAAGACGACCCGAAAGCTGCCCACCCCAGTCGGATTCGACGAATTCAAATTTGGCTCTGTCTAATTGGACGGTTTGTCCCTGGTAGATATACTCATCAACAACTTCGAGAGTAGAGGTTCCCACTGTTATAGGGGTGGGTGCGACATGGACATTCGACATAGGTTTCGTCTAGTCCATGTTCATTTTTAGACCCATCTGCTGGGATATAATGTTTAGATGAATTTAACTTTAGCAGTAACAATTAATGAATTATAGTTATTTGAATTTAATAATTTGAAGGCGCCCTTAGTATTATTAATTACTGCTAGTGCCCACGTACGAAAAGTACTTCGAGGGTAGCCTACTGTACTACTTACTCGAAAAATGATTACCTCTCCATACAAACTTTCACCGACTTTATTTTTGTGACAAAAAAGTGCCCTATGTCCTTCTACTAGGTCCCATCTATCTCTATATCAACATTCATCAAATTTGGTTCAGCGGTTTAGGCGTGCACAGGTAATAGAGTTACTTTCGCATTTATAACATTACTTTGGATAACAATGGAGGTAAATTAATTTGTTACTCCGCGAACCCAGTGAAGCTTAAATCGTGCTAAATAGCCGTGCTTGTGTTGAATATTTTTTCATGCCGTTAATTATCCCACCTTCCGTCTGCATAAAATAAATAACACAAGCGGAACTACAGTCACAAACCACCACCAAAAATATACCCGAGACGTGTTTCGCCTCTCCACGAGGCATCCTCAGGGGCTGTTGACTGCTCGACGCTCGGCCGAAAAGTGAGCTCGTTCAGAACGGTTGGTTTATTTATGCCCCGCTACCCCCAGTGTTGCTATTGTTGAAACCCGAAAATACCCGTAATAAAGGTGATGATGCAAAATTCAATTGTTCATTTAATAAAACCCCTGTTCTTGTACCTAATTATTTCCATCTGTTCGAAAGCACTCAGACGTAGTTCTTTTTCGCAAAAAATACTTTGTATGTTATTACAGCTTAACTTACTGAAGTTATCAAACGTACCTTAATCCAACTAGTAAAGATTATCGACGGAAACAAGAATACTATACTGTAAGCGAAAAGCCTAAAGGTCAATGATCTTTCGTGGTACTTGTACAATCTGTGATTCTCGCGTTCAGTTAAATAAGGTGAAACAAAGTGAAATATCTGGAATTAAAAAGAAAACGCATTAGTCTTCAAATTGTGGAATAGTTTCATGTATCTTGTGATACCAGATTAGTGTTTCGTGTAGATTTTCAAGAATCTGAGCACATCCATTGATGGCCTAGCTGGATCTGGGGTCCTACTTTCGAAACACGAAATCCGTAGTTACGACAGTTTTCCCACTATGGATGACATTATTAGATTTCAACTTTCGATCGAGGCTAGAACTATACTAAACACAAACTAGGATGATCCCTATGATACTTTTTTATTAAGAGCTTTAGCTTGGATATAAGTCCTTTGTGCCAAGTATTCGTTCAATTATCGAGATGCTTATTAAGTATTTTCCATTGTGGTTCTACAACATCATGTTTTTTTCTTCTTTCTCTTAAATAAGTTAGTTCTCTCGTTTGGGCTTTCTAAATAGTTTTTTAAGAAGCGGGAGTTAATATTTATGTTTTCACTTTCACTTATATCGTATTATTGCGTCCGTCAGGACGACTGGACCAAACGAGATTTACAAATCCAACTGTGTTCATTATTTACTATCTATTTTCTATTTTCTATTTAGTACCTTTGCGCTAACGAAAATATTAAATAAATAAAGTGGCCAGCCATTCTGAAGTCAGGTTGGCTGGACCACTTTACGTTTTTTATTGTTCAAGCAGTATATAATTTACTTTTTTTATATAACTATTTACTACCCAATTTCTACCTAAATATACTTTTTTTCACTAGGAAGCTTCTATAAAAAGTTATTTGAAAATAATAATAAAACGCCTTTGTAAAAATTATCATCTAAAAAAGACAGTTTATCTTCTTATTATAATTGCTAAATAGTTTTGTAGTCGCTTAGACTATGCCAACAATGGTTTCTGGATTACCTTTGCAAGCCTTAGAATAATAACGCATAGAATGATAGTTTCATAGCAAACGAACTGTCACAAGAAATCAAATTCATGTAGGCTAGTTTTAGTAGTAGATTAATTTTTGGTAGTGAATATTTATATAAAAATATAAGTTGAAACGCGTTACTTCCTTGTGAAATGTAATGTTAGTATTTATATTTTATGTTTGTCTGACGTATTTTTACACTCATTTACTGCACATTTCGTCATTTTAGCTAAAATTCTTGAGCTGTTCGCGGTGCAAGTTGACCTTGAGCACTGAAGGCTCGCCCGCTCGTGTAGGCCCATTGGGAGTGCTTCAATTTGCCTCACTTAGCGTGTGCGGACTAGGTTTCTATGCGTTATTATTCTAAGTTGCAAGCTATATTTTATAACAATTATTATATTAATTTCATTGAAATGTAAATTCCATTTGTAGGTATTAAAGAATATGAACGAATTATAATCAGTTATTTAATAATCGTTTAGTTGTCATTTGATAGTAAATATTCGACTACCCAAAATATTCAGAATGGTGAAAATAATTATGCAAAGTCCGCTTTCATAACGTCATTAATAATTAGAAATAGTAATAAACAAGTAATATAAACATATTAACGATGAAAAGAGGTAGACCATAACCATTACCGTTAGATGAAACAAAAAAGTGTGAAAGTTTGAAAAGTGTTTTTAGATCTAAATGACCTTCCTTTACCCTGTGATCCAGTGTTCAGAAATCTTAGTGAACTGTTACAATATAAGACGCCAAAAAAAGGTATATTTTCTTTTTTCGTATTTTCTTCATAATATATTTAAAATAAAATTAATCTTTGCAAAAACTGTACCAATAACTTCAAAAGCCTGCCATTTTTTTCCGTGTGATACTTCATTTGACGTTTGTCATAGGGAAGAGGTAAAGTCGCTAAATTGTAATATTGTAATGTATTTTTCAACACATTTGCTCGTAACGGGCTTCTTATTGTATCGCTTTTAGGCTCATAAACCTAGCTATTGAACACGCGTTTGTAATTATATTACAAAACGTGTGTGTAATAAGTATAGGCTTAACCGGATTAAGATGTATCTCACAACAAGGCCTATGTATTAAAACTATGCATTCTTAAATTATCCGGGTTATGTCTTTGAAATTAACTTGGTCTATTAAAAAAACAGCTCTAACCTACATATTATAAGATTCAAATTACAATGACAGTAATCCCAAACAAACAGGGTCACAGTTTTTTTTTTATTTCTGTTTAATACGGTTGTGTAGTCTTACCTTACAAATAATATTTTTATTAATAAATTTATATTTCTTATTTGATGTGATAAATATAGAAAAACATACACAATATACACCTATAAAACTTTAATTGAATAAAATGACTTATTTTGGATAATATTTTACACGAATTTGAGTGAAATAAGGACATATTTATATTATTTCGCATTGGCTGTTTAGGAATTTCACCTAAGTCTCATTATTGCCGAAGCACCTGCGCGCGCATATCCGCGACGCGGCGCCAGGCGCAGAAAAAATAACTCTGCGCGCCAATTTCCATTGATACGTTCGAAACATTTATATACGCTGTGTGTTAGATAATTACCTAGGTGTTTAAAATGTCCTGCTCAAGCACGGAAGAAAACATTTTGATGGATTTAACACCGCCCGAAATCCTCACAGAGGCACAAAACGCAAGTGACAGTTTATTACCTTCGAAATCCAGAGAAAAATACATGGCTGCATATGAAACTTTTAATTAATGCCAAATAAAGCTATTTTTCATTTCCATTTTACTCAAGTTTGTTTCATTTTCCTCGCAAATGTGTTGAAAAACGTCGTATGAAACACGTGTGCTTTGATCATTACACTCTCGGCTTTCTTATCGCGCTCGCCTGCGGCTCGCGCGAGTAATAACGCCTCGTGTGTAATGACCAACTTAGCACACTTGTATCATAATGTACTATTATCTTTAAAGTAAAGGTAACGTATTCTGAACGATCTGTAGATACGTAAAGAGTTCCATGTTATACTCAAGGCATAAAACACTCCAGTATAATTCAAATAAAATTTCACTTGATATTTTAGTAAATTTCTAAAAACATTATTATGTCATATTATCATTAATGTAAAACTTAAAATGTTTTTCCGCTCTTTACTCACAATTAAACATTGATTTGGTGTTACTTTAATGTATTTACTTAAATAAAGGCTATTTTAAAAAGCGAGGCTTACGAAAACATTTTTCTTTTTTTTATGTATGTTACGCGATAAGTTTGTGAACCGATTTTGATGATCCTTTTTTTTTGAAAGAGGGTACATCGATAGAGGTCCATTTTAATTAGAAGAAAATATTCCACCTCTAAGAGTGGCAAATTAGAGATGAATTCGGTTTTGCGCACTTTTCGGTAACCGATTTCAATAAACCTTGGCAAATAATAATAATTTCATGAAATTTTGAGGTCGGTTTTTTAGTACTCTGTACTGAGTTTACATCGTGTACGTTTTTATGTACTGTTACAAGGATCATTCTAGATTATTTTTAGTAATAGTATTTTCGTGCTGTATTAAAATAAACTTACGCATTGATATTTTTATACCTGAATTACGGAATGAAAGTATGATTATGAAATAGAAATGAAATGTTGAATAATTCTCAATTTAAGGCACTCTAGTTCAAACAACCATAAATACAACATACGGAGTAAAATGACAATTTGATGGGTTGCCAGTTTTCGTAAAATTTTAAATAGTCATGCAGCTGTTGTCGACATTTGTATCGATATATTGTGAAAGAAAGTAAAATGTTGCCAAAAATGTCTCAATTATGAATGTTACTACGCTTTACTGATTACTAATGGCGTTATTGTATTCTTTATTCTTACTCAATACTCAATCTTTATTGCTTTTCCATATGTTTACAAGGTGTTACAAAGTATATAATATAATAGATCATGTATGGACCCTGTCGGGCACAGCAAATGAGAGGGAGGCATTTTTATTAATTGGTAATAGATAAAATGTATTGAGGTGAAATATTTTATGAGCATGTATTTAAGTATTATTTATTTTTATTTTTATATATAGTCTTTTTTACTTATTTATATATATTTGCTTTTTAAT